TGTAGTAATCGTTTAAGAAAAATGATTCAGTGTGTTTAGGGTTAAAAAAAAAAGTCTAACAGGTCGATACATCTGTTCCTTTAAAAAACACATTCTCCATTTTTGAGACATCATAAATATGTAAATGAGGGCTCTTTAATTACTGCCTAGGGCTATAAACTCGCATGCTAGAGGGGAGGGAAGAAGGAAGGCAAAGAATAATTCACATATTTTTTGGGTTTGTTTTTTTTTTTTTTTTTTTTTGAGAAAGAGAGATTGGGTCTTTACCTCAGAAATGACAGCAGAAGAATGGGGCTTTTTATTGCTGAATTACCAGAAGGTGCTTGGAGCACTTTGTTTTGTTTTGTTTATCCTTTTGGATGGAGTTAGCATATAAAGCAGTAGCATACGACCTTTCTGGCTAATGTGTGCACCAAACAGAGGGGATTTATTACGAAGCACCAGGTGACATTCCCTTCTATTCCATTCTGCCAGTACCCTTAATCCCGATCAGCAACATCCCCTGCTGTCTCTCGAGCTGCTTGCAGCACCCGAATCTTAGCATGGTTTCTGGTGCGAGTACACCAGAGGCTAGCGAGGGACCCTGCAAAGTCATTTTCACTGGTGACCTGATAAGCGCTTGGCACTTAACCGAATAGAAGTCTGCTCTTATTCAGCCCTGCCGGCCTTTCTGTATCTTAAGTACCATTATTTCCGAGTAAGGTGATCTTGCTGCTGCTTTTAAAACAGCGTGAGATCGACACAAAGGGCATTTTTTTAAGTTTCAGGATGTGGATGTGCACGTGGGGAACCATACCAGTGTATAGCAGTACCTGTGTAGTAGGTACAGTTACTGGAAATTTAATTCTACTGGTATTTTTTCCAGGCAAAACGGTCTGGTGTCAAAATGCTTATTCTGCCTTGGTAAAACTTCAGATCCATATGATAATTTTCACTTTCCACATTTAATCTTTTAATTCTTACTGAGGCCTATGAAAGAATAATTTCCAGATAATAATGGTTTCCTGCTAATGAGCTCCACGTTTTCGATAGCAGAAATTACTTAGAGCCAGTATGCTCACTGAAAAAATTATTCTATTTGATGCTCTTATGATGTATCTGAGAGAAAGGTAAAAATGAGTCTTGTGGGGGTGAGGCAGGATAATTCAAATACAAAGTGTTGATGTCGTTGTAAATGGTGAGGCTTTGTATGTACTATTTTGGCTGTTTGGTTCTTGCAACAAATGTTTACTTCCTGCGGGAATTAGTAAACTAAGGGGCTTCTGTTGACCAAAAGAGAATAAAAGCCTTGGGCTGGTTAAAGTAGCAGACCGGCGGCAGTAAAGAGCTGGTGGGTGTCCATCCATGCAGTGAGGGGAAAGAGGTGGAGGGACCCTGGCAAGGCAAAGGCTGTTTTAGCCGGAGAGCGCTAGTAACGTGAGAACAAGTGAAGTTGAGGATGGAAGTGAAAATACTTCTAGCTACTAGGGGAAGGGTGAGAGTCAGAGAGTGCTTTTTCAGTGGGAGCCATTGGGTGTTAAAAGCAGAGACAATTCAGTGAGATTGAATTTGAATTTATGACAGAAATTGTATGGCGTATCTGTATCGCTGAGCAGGGGACTGTGCTCCCAGTCCTGCCTTCAAGAGCCCCGTCAGGCTCCTGCTCAGTCCTGTAAGTTAGTTCTGTGCGTTCTGCCCTCTGCTTTTCCAAACGGGCTTTGAGAAGCTATGCCATGTAGGAGATAGGACAATTTGGACAAGTACAATAGTAAGCTGTGGTTCAGGTAGCTGATAGCAACCGTTGATTTTGTTTATGGTTAACTGGAAGGCAGAGAATTGGGGTGGTATTATATGTACATTTCGTAAAGCAACATGCAGGATAGTTTGTTGGCATAAATGACGGTATGTGAATGCAAGTCATTGTCATTGTCTCTGTAAAATCTCTCTGCAGTTTCCCAGCCCTGAAGCATATTGCCAGCAACACCAGAAGCAGCTCCTGATGCCACTAGCCATGAGTCTGAGTGCTGGTGTATCTGGCTTTACTTGAGAATTGTGTTTTCTGGCAGTATAGAGTATGTCTGTGTATCTCTTGCTTGCGATAGATACTCTTTCCAACTTGGCTTCCAGTTTCTCTATGTGGCTGTATGGCACTGAGGATGTTATGCCAAAATAGACAAAAACTGTGTCACAAAATCAACCAGAAATAGGGTATTTTGCTTACTGGTTCATTAAGCAAAAATGTCCCACCTTTTTAAAAAAAAAAACAAAACAAAAAAACACAAACCAACAACAAAAAAACCCAGCCTCAGTTTTCATCTCTTCAAATATTTCGACAAAAATCCATATGCATGTATACATTTCTATTTGTTTTCAGCATGCCCTTCTCCATCTGTCCTGATGTTCAATTAAAATGCAGATAATGTGTCTCAGCTTGTAAGATGGATCACTACTGAAGTGGTGTCATCTCTGGGCTAGCTTATCTCTTGATAAATACCTCTGCTGTCCACTGAGAGATTAAACTTCATGACTGCTGAGGTCTGTTTGGGGGTCTTACGGGCAGATAAGACTGTGTTACTTGCTTTTAATAAAATATATCAATTTACATTTGCTAAAGGACCTTTGGATGGCATTTGCTATTGAGAAGGTGGCAGTGGCATAATCAAATGATAATACTTGCATGTGAAACTGGCTTTTCCATTTTACAAGTATTATAATTTATTGACAGGAGTGCTTTATTGAACCCTCTTGTGTCTAGAGTGTGGAGATGAGGAGCTTGAGCTGCTGTTACAAAACCTCATTTAGCTGTCTAGCAGAAAAGATTTCTTTCCCTGAGTCTAATCTGGCAGGAGCCATGGAAGAACATTATCAGCTAGGTACAGAAATCTCAGGCGGCTTGGGTATGTGGGATGCACGCCGATGCCGTGGTCTGGAGTCTGTCTCACCGTGACAGCCATGCAGTCAGGGTTCCCACCACAGGGAACACTCTTCTTCTGGGGGTTGAGTATGGACGGTGCTGGACTTGTAGAGGTACTTTAACTGAAGAGATGTTGAGTCATTTGTAGTAGGAGTGGTGAGCGGCCAGCTTCTCTAACCAAACAACTATCTGAAAAATTTGCTGTCTCTTAGGTGTTTGTAGGGAGTGGAAAAGAGTTTTGTCATGAACAGCTCTCTGAATAATAAACTGCTCGGTGCCACTGAAGAGATTCATGAGGGAGAGGTTTCTGTGTGAGTCCAGGACCTTGCTTGGGCTGGTATAAAGTTTTATATAAATATGGCATTTGGGTATGTATTTCTGAATCTGTGCCCACTCCCTGTTCATGAGCGTGAGGATACAACTTCTTAGACTGTACCGCTCTGTTGCAGTAAAAGGATACAGGAATACATAGGCAAAGACTGTTTTCGTCTTCAAATGCTCAGTATCTATGGTTTCATTTCCATTTTAGATGCCATGAAAGGTGATTGAAACAGCAGAGTGTACATAATGTATGTGTGAAACATCTCTGTGCCCCTGAGAAGTGAATTCTAGAAAAAAGCACTTGAAACTGCTCAGCTTATTAAGTACAGGCTAGAGTCTTATGCCGGTCTACTTAAAACATAAATAAGTAGAAGTCATGGTGCAAACTGCTTAGTAATATGAATTATGAAGTGAAACTGTTAATTAGTTGTTGACTTCTGCTGTTCTGCCACTATAGGGAAACTACAGGGCAGGGCCAGAGAAGGGGAGAATGGGTGTAAGGGGCCCAGTGAAATGCAAACCGTGCCCGCACTAGGAGGCTTACTTAAGCTTCTTTGTGCTTTTAGTGTCTTGCTCTTGGTCCAAGTTTGAGTGGCATTTTGGCTGTTCCTGCCTTTCAGATCAGTAGAGCTGTTTTTGCTATTTTTGCTATTCTGTTTTTTACCCCAGTCTGAATGCAGGGATAAGGGAGAGGTAAATGGTGAATTCAGCGTGATGTGTGCATGCTGATTTAGCACCGTTTCCCCATCTTGTAGGCGTTGTTCTTGATTCCAGACACATACCATTATCTTGACAAAGAGCTGCTTATGTGTGATCATGGAGTATGATGTAAAGCATGGCTCTGAAAAAGAGTTAACAAATACACAGAGCAGGGCTCGTCTTGATGGCACCAGTGTGTACCAAGCTGTATCCACAAACGTAACTCAGCATGATGAGCATCAGTGGTGGGCTTAGGGAACTGCGGGTTTGTTCTTTAGGTCATCATAACTGATTGCCAGTTTTCATTTGATGATTTTATACAGCTGTAGCAACATGAATTAAAACTCCTAACACCACTTTGAGCCTTCCTTTCCATCTTCTAGAAAATTTTTTTAAAGTTACAGGGAAGTTTTAATTTGCCTTAAGTTACACAGTTTATTAGAGATGGGCCTAAAGAGTGGGGTGTTTTTCCAGAAGCAACAAGTGGTTTGTTCAGCTATGGATGCCTTAAAGAGACCAATTTTTCTAGAAGGCAAGAACTGCTCAGCCCTTTGGTCTGAGTATCAGGCATCTTCCGTATATACTAGGTTGTGCATCTGGAATCATTAGTCATTCTGAAAGTCTGCGTTGAGTTGTGAATCCCAGTCCTTCACTCACTGTCATCTTCGCCATTTCAAGGGCTTGTGAAATAAATCTAGCTGGAGGAGAGTCCAAAGTATACCTGTTGCTTTTAATTTTCAATACAGAAATCCAGAGTCTTCATAATATACATTTTGTGTTATTTTTGGCCATGTAATACTCTGCCATATCTGATTCATTGAATATTTTTGGGAGGTATTTTCTCTTGGAGGAAGATTAGGAAGAATCCCCATGCCCTTGTCCTTGCCAAAGCCAGACTGTCATTGTTATTTGGATTATTATTATGCTATGTCACAAAGTGCTCAGGGGTCTCTTGGAAGCAGCTCTGCTGGATTGTTTAGGTGGTAAATGTGCATGGACTATGCTCAGTGATCTTTACTGTCCTTTTTGTCTTGCAGATCGAGGGATTTTAATGGCTTTCAGGTAGAAGAAAGTGGAGACAATCAAAATGAATTCTATGGACAGGCACATACAGCAGACCAATGACCGGCTGCAGTGCATAAAACAGGTAAGCTGAAGGTGGAGATCATTGCTGCCAGATGAGCATTGTGTATTGTCTGGCAGGGTGTGTTTTGCATTATGATTACCTGTTGCTTAATTAACATCCTTGCCTTTTAGAGGGGAGGAGAGTGGTAGGAATGACACATTGTAAATCTCATTGAAGATAACAATATCTACTGCAACACCTGGTGCATAAACCTCAAATGCCAAACTTTCCCTTTCACCTTTCTAAGAAATCTTCAGCCTGGAGACTCAACAAATCTGTCCCAGCTGAAAGCAGAGTGGTGCTAGTCCTGCCAGTTCTGCCCTGAAGGTGTCACAGTGGGCAGCCATCGTACTTCTGTTCTGAGCACAACAATCCAAAATTTTGACAGGCCGGTTTTGATTCTAATCCAGTATCTGACCTGAGACCTGCAACCTGCACTGCCTGGAGACTCGGGACTTGGATGGTTGGCATACCTCCAAGTGTTCGGGTTAATCGGTTTGTGTGGAGATGTAAAAACTTCTGTTCGCAAGGCAAAATTTTGAGAAGCGTCTGTTTGTGAAAATGATGGGCCCTTGTAATTCACTGAAAGGCAGTGGGATCTAAGTCTCATTTACAGATTTCCCCACTCTAACTGTGCTTGTAAATGCTTTTATAACCAAGTGAAACTACAAAGGCAAGGATGGAATGAGCAGATGCCATCTTTCCCTGCTTTACCCTTCTGAGTGAGCTTTACTCTGGCATTGCAGGCAGCATGTATCTTCCCCTCACATATGTTCTTCTCCACATGAAAGAATCTTTAGAGAAAATTCATAGCAATGGTTCTTTGTGTAGAGGAGGTGAGCAAGAGAATGGTTTAACGTGTTGATATTTCCTGGTTTTATCTCTAAACCAATGCATGCCTGCTGCAAACAGATGCACTCTTGCAAGCTGCACACAGGTATTTTGAAGATTGGTTATCCCAGCTGGATCCATTAGATGAGCTCCAAAGTTCATCTCTTCAGAATGGTTGAAATTTTCTGAATTACATTGGAAAAACAGGAAGATATTATTCCATGAAATAATGTTGCCAATTTTTTTTCCCTGTTATCTGAGCAGTTTTCTGTCATTTCAGGCCATGGTATGTTCATAGCCCAGAGTCTTGCTGTTTCAGTTTTATATTTGTATTAACTAAGTTGAAAACCTACCTGCCTACTTCTGCTGTGGGACGTGTGCATATCGCTTCTTGAGGGACTGCAGCATTTTTCTGTTCATAGATATCTTTGTGTTGTAGACACAAGCACTGTAGATCAAAGGAATTAATAAAAGATAAGCATGGGGGTGGTACTGGATCAGTCTAGATTTTTACACTTACTTTATTTTCTTCTATCTACAACTTCTTCAAGCGAAGCATTGGAGGGGAAGGTGCTAATCTCACACTGGTCACCAGTGACAGGACACAAGGAAAGGAATGAAGCTGCATCAGGGGAAGTTCAGATTGGACATTAGGAAAGGGTTCTTCACTGAGAGGGTGGTCAGTCACTGCAACAGGCTACCCAGGGATGTGGTCATGGCACCAAGCCTGTAAGAATTCAAGGAGCTTCTGGACTATATCTTAGTCATATGATTTAGTTTTAGGTAGTCCTACGAGGAGCAGGGAGTTGGACTTAATGATCCTTATGGGTCCCTTCCAACTTGAGATATTCAATGATTCTATGATTACCTGTTTCCATTTTCATAGTTTCAACAGTCTCCATCATTATGTTTTGTCATGTTTGCCTAGATATTAGTAGAAGTTTATATTTTCTAGAATGTGTTGTAATGCAAAGAACAGAAAATGCGTGTTTATTTGCAAGTCTGGCCATGCAGATGCTTTGGGGGATATAAAAAAAGAATCAAGTTTATATCTAAACCATGTTTCCTTTATAAGAGAGGATTTCAGAATAAATCAAACAAAGCTAGTTTGTAGGTCAAGGAGCAGAAATAGGAATATGTCCCTGCAGAATTGCTAGTCATAAACCAGGCTCGGTCTGTGGCGGCTTGCTCTCTCTCTTTCCTTGCTCTGTGGTGAAAGTTAATGCATCTCATGGCCCTTCAGAGGCCTGAGGGAAATACGAATTTTGGGATTTCATCCCAGTTTCTTATGAACAACTGTCTGGCTCAGAAAAAAATATGCCTTTGACTGGCACAAATTGGTGTCCTTTTTGGCCATCCTAGCCCACAGGATGAAGAATTAAGTGACTTGCAGAACAATTTAACCTTCCAGCTGTAAGAACAGACCTTTAGATCAAGTGGAGACAAACAGAGGATGCTGCTTAGTTCTTTTCTCTAGAGCTGTCAGTTTCTGTACATAAAGAATTTGTATTACTTTAATTAGATAAAAGAATATCAAATTACACTTCTTACAGTATTAAAGAGATATTTTTGCCTATGTAATGGGTACTTTGTCAGTTAAACCACTAACTTCATTTATACATAGTGCTGGGTTACATATGCAGCTGGGATATTTCATCAGGGATGAAGGCCGAGAGGAAGGGAGGAAGGTCAGACTTCCCAGCATTCGTGGATTATTCTTGGTTTTGTTTGATCCTCAGGGTTTTCTGGTGGGCAGGGGCATGCTTGCATAGGTGCTCTGTTCTGTCAGACAGTAAGGATGCCTGGCGAGGAGGTATCCTTCTTGGGCATGCTCGTGAATTCATGGTGCTTGTGTTCTGTATAGGCCCGAGTGAGAGATTAGGGATGCTTTTGTTTTCAACTCATGAAAAAGTGTAGTTAACCAAGACAATGGCTGAACACCAGAAATATATAGCAGAAAGCTTTTTTGTGGCAGTGGCAGTACATGTAGTTTTGTTGGAGAGGAATGGCTGATTTTTGTTGTTGTTGAAGAACTTAGCATAGAGACTGCCCTCTGCTTTTTCATACTTCCAAAATCTTGTGCTGTTACCTTTGTCATAGTAGAGGAAGAGACAGAAGCTCACCCTGTCTAGCTTTTTGCAGGAGACTCATGTCTCTGTCACAGGATCATAAATTTCCAGCTTGGAGACATTTACCTTGTTCTTTGAGACAGGTCATTAGCTGGCAAAATTAACGTGGTACCACAAAGAGTAATTTCCAGTTCCCCCCATAGGGAACTGGACCACACACTGTTATGTGCACGTTGGTTTTGGGAGCAAAGCAGTTCCTTGCATGTCTATATCAATGTATCTTTACTGTTTTCGGGGATTAACTGCAGGGTCAAACAAATATCTGCCTGCCTTTTCTTCCCCAGTCTCTAGTCATTTATCCTTTCTTCCCAGCCTGTGAACAAACAGTACTGCTGTTCTGCTGAAGAGGCGGGTGCTTTCGGGGTGGTTAACCCAGCAGTGGCGTGGAAGGTGCACTGCAACAGCAGGAGGAAAAGCATCCTTCCTGGCGCCCAGCATCTGCGTGTTTTACAACCTTGCTGGCAGCTAGTGGCTCATGCAGCCAGACCGGGAGCTGTCTGCCCCCCTCCTTGCCCCTCACCCCAGCCCCTGAGAAATGCTATAAATGGTAATCCATGTGCCTCTCTGACTAGATCAGGTTTCAACACAGGGTCAGGACAGGCTTCTTTCTTCCCAGCTCTGTGACTTGTGAGACACCCACAATATCCTTGCTGACTTCTGTTCCATGATCAAGGTTGTGTTTTACCTTCATCTTTTTTAGCGCTTTAAAGCTACAAACCCAAAACTTGTATATGATCAGCTAGTTAGGAAATGAAGTGTGTGTGTGTGTTAAGAAGTGTTTCAGAATAGATGAAAGGGCAAACTGAAGAGGTGGCTGTGTATTTACAGTGAAAAAAACCCCAGACTTCTGTGGAAGGCTGGAACAGCTTGTGTGGTCTCTTTGTAGCTGATTCCCTCAGTATTTGTAAGTGTATGTGCTTTAAAATCAAACATAGTTTTTTTGATGTACAGTGGAAAAAGCCAAAGTAACAGGCTTCCCTTAACACATGCAATTAGTTTGTCATGACACAGGAGACTCCTCAGGGTATGTTGAAGGAGGCTGGATCTTCAGGGTGCAGACTTTTTTCTTTAATTCTTTGTCTGTACAAACAAAACCACAAAATGATTTTATGCTCAGTGAAGGTCTGATAGCCCCTGAGTACTGCCCTATTTGAGGTGCAGTAATAATCTGTTTATCTGCCGAGTACTCATGGCTTGGGTGGCTCTGGTGCACTGTCCACCGTGGAACTCTGGGGCAGCAGGAGCTGTCTTAGGCGGGCACAGGGCTGAATTTGAGGGCTTCCCAGGGCCCAGGCACAGCCTTCTGAAGGAGCCAGCTTGGCTGCCACTGCATAGGAAGTCCTGACAGGGAACTGACTGCTTTTCTTAAACCATTCTTCATAATAGACCAGAGGTATGGCTTTAATCAAACACCGTCCATTATTTTCCTTATGTGATACAAATAAACACAAGGCAAAATCAGTGGGTGGCATGACATCTCTCTGCTCTCACCCTGGTGGCTCCACTTTAAAGTTGTAGCACTACTTTAAATCTAGGGACTTCCACCTTTTATTGTCCTTCTTTGCTGTCAGTCAGTTTGTAAGGTTTCTATACATCTCTTCTGAAATTCTTGAAAAGATGATGATGGAGAAAATCTTTGTATATTTAAGTTACAAGGAAGCCACCCCTTTCAGAACAGGTGTGTGATATCTTTCTGCCATGCTGAGGACAGTTGTCAGGGTACGTACTAAAGCTGTATTGACATTTTAGCGACAGGTTAAAGGGACATATGAAAAGGCTCTCTGGCATCAAAAGTGTTTGGTCATGGTGGGAACAGAGAAGGTTGTTTCTGCTGCTTGTGTCATGGTTCATCGGGACACATTGGGCAGTATCATCAAATGATGTTGGACCACGCAGGGTACCCCACTTCATTGGAGGCACACGTCACATAGCTGATTTCTAGAAACCGATTAGCATTTCTCCCCTCTTTCCTTCAAGAAAGCTTGCTGAATTGCTGCAGTTGCAATGCTTTATAATGCCTCCCCAGCCATTCAGAGAGCTAAAAGTTGTAATTGCTGTGTG